TGGAATGGCATCACAACAAGAATGTGAAAGTCCTTGAGTGGCACAACTAAAGCACGGGATGGATTTTATTGAATATCTGCGGAAAGACTTGATGATAGCTGCTGGTCATGCTAGATATGAAGCATGACAGATGTCTCACATTTAGTTTGACCAATCTTGATAACATCTGCACTGTAAAATCATAAAACATGTACACACGTGTACAAAAAAAAAGTTAAAATCCAGATTTGCCTAGCTCATACAAATGTTTCCAGAGAACTCATATTTGGAATCTCTGCCAACAATGCTTCTAAAATGCGCTCTATATGACTAGATAGATTATGGCGTTGTTGAGGGGAGCAATTAATAGATAATTTGCCATCACAATGTAAAAATTGATTTCTTTTGTTGCAAACTAACGCAACAGCAATTGCTGCCATCATTAAGAAAAACAGTGTGAGCGTGTAGTGTTTAACTGGGCAGACTCTACAGCCGCTGAATACAGACAACACTTTTACAGAGCATCCCCTGTGAATTCTCTGGTTTCTTTGTAACAGACGGAAATGGGAAATCCATGTGCAACAGACTAAAACACACTGCTATCCAGATTTTTTTCCTCTTCTAAAAATATACTGACTGAAAGTAAACAGCAGCATGTAAGATAATTTTGTTTGTATTAAAAAGTAGTATAAAAGAAAAGGATCGATTCACCTATGCTTGATTTGGTTTAAAACTGGGTGAATAGTAACTAAATCTGTGTGGTTTAATAACCTAACCTAAAATTACGTTTTTTTAATAACCAAAACAGTAACATATTACAGAGTACAGTTATCCTGAAGTTAAGAGATACGTCTGTTAGCGGTGACCATGGTTCTGCCTGTATGTTTGTTGTCCTTCGTTTCATCTCAAAATATGTGCTTTGAAATCTGCTTCTAGATTGTCCACCTAATAAATTGTGGGCAGTTAAATGCTGTGGTGTAAGTGAATTTCATCTTTAATCTTGGGACCTTTAGCATGTAACCATTGAATGTCTGCATGTCCCCCACTGCTTCTTTACACCATTAAAGATAAATGTGAGAAAGCCTCAAAGACTTTGAAGTTTGCAATAGACAACAATATACTGGCCTTTTCTATTTTAATCTCTGATTTCTCTTTTTAAATGGAAGTGAGCCAGACTTTCTCTATGTGTGTTTGTGTATCTTTGTGGACACAAGGTTAAAGGTGGGATGCAGAGGCACAGATAATGCGTGTGTACATAAAGTGAGGTCGGAGTTTGAAGCCAGTAGATGTATAGATATAGAACGACAGGTCAAAGGGAGAAAAACAGAACCAGACCTGCTTTATGAACAAATCATTTAAGGTTTGTGAAAAAAAATCTTGTTGAGAATGGCCCCCATAGAAATGTATTATCTAGCAGATCTTGGTTCTCACAGTGTACTCAAGGCTGGCACATCAATGCCACAGCCAATGACAAATGACAATGTCATGATATTGTGATACTTTTGATGGATAAAAAAAATTTAAATTAAATGATTTGGATTAAAAATGTCCATCTGTTTCATCTGGGGAGCTCTGCTTTCTCCAGCCTGTTTGTGAAGATAAAGTTCACCCTGACCTTTTAGCCAATATTTATTCTCTTGATGTGTGTATCAATGCATTGGGTCCCTGTGTGCCTGTGTACTGTACACGATCACCTCTCTGCATGTGTATGAGTAACTGCATGCCTGTGTGTGAGAATCAAACCAGAGAGTCATTACCATGTGAGGTGAGGGGATGGGTGCTTGTGGCATGGCTATGGACAGTGCTGTTACTTGAGTTTCATACAGCTCCACGTCTCATGAGAGCATTTTATTTTATTTTACTTTGATATACTATTCTGTTGTTACCACTTTTATGCTGCTCACTTCTTGGCAATGTGCATCTTCCCTTTAACGCTGATGTACTGTAACTAGAAAATGAATATAGAAGAAAATGTCAGCAAACAAGAGGCAACAGTCTGACGATCAATGTGATGGTGTTTAGCTGCTCATCTGCGGCAACTGCTCTTCCATTAGGAGCAGGAGAAAGTGGGTGTGTTTGTGAAACAGAGAGCAATGAAGAGGAGACTCAGATGAGACTCAGTGTGCCTGAGTGATGCTGAGCTGAAACAAATAAGAAAAACAGAACAGTGTGCTCATTCTTTCTTTTTTTGCAATCTCCCAGTGGCTACACACAGACTCAGAGAGATAAGTAACTTGTGGGACAAACCAGTTCTCTGCTAATATATATGTTTAATTGTCATATGTGTTTTATACAATCCTGAATGGTCTTTCAAATTTTCAACTAAATCAATTTAAGAGTTAATCTCATCCTGGGATTGAATTAGTGCCAAGACGATTTCAGCGACGAGGATGGACTGAAGGAATACAAACAAGCTGAGGGAAAACACACAAAGCCTTGAGGTTTAACTTTTGATAAGCCCCTAACACAGCAATCAAAACATCTGCTATCTTAAAACAAGTGACATTGTAATCCCGAAGGACAAAGACTAAATCTCTCTCGCTCTCTTGTAGGAATGATGAGAAAGGATAAAAAGAGAGATGGCTATTCAAAAGGGAAACTTGATTAAACTGCATGCTGCCTTGCTCCAAACCTCACCCACTAAACCTCAATAACTACACACTTCTGACAGATTCTCTTCAATCCACATGCAAAAACCCCTTGAAAGCACACATCACAACAACAGTCTCCAGTTGCAATTCCCATGGTTTTATTGTTAGGACAGTTTACAGTGTCCACTGATGTGAAAAGTTACATCATCAATACGAGACCTTAGCATGAGGCTACCTCTTGGTTTTCTCCCTGAGGCCAAAACAGAAGGACTTTGATGGCCAGTAGGGTCTCTAATAAAGTTTAGTGCTCTCCATGCTAAAAGCGGAGTAACTCAATCTCCCAACACTGCTTACCTCTTTTCTAAAAGTCTGTGACATACAGGCTGGAAGCTTGTTTACAGAACTAATTAAGTCAAAGCTGTTATATATTAAAATGGCCAGGGCATTTTTAAGAGGCAGCAGTAACGAAAACAGAGTGGCAAAAAATGCTTCACTAACTTGCCCCTGACTCTCTTTTATCTACTTCGCTGCTCCAAAAGGAGTGGCCATCACCACACTGGATATTTGGAGGAACTAGGTTAAGGAGAGAGAACATGTACTGCTTCAAACAACTTACTCTGGGATAAACAATTTTGCACATGATCAAACTTATTTGAAGTATTGAGAGCGATCTGTTTGTTCTTGGTTGGTGTTCTGTCTGAAAAGTGCAGCCAGCAGAGGCTGATGGGCAGAGGAACAGATGGTCTGAACATGGGACTCTTTTGTTTAATTGTGGATGTGGCTTTTCTCGTTTTTTTTTTTATCAGCTAAGATCTGTGGCTCATTTGGCCAAGGGAGAAGCTGTCTAACTGGGCTCTACAAGAAAGGACTTTACTTGTATCTCTGTTCAAGTGTTTGAAATGGATATTTAGAAGCATGGTCCCATACACACTCAAACCCCCTCCACCCTCTCTCTCTCAAAACTATGCATTAAGGGGAATTTTCAGGTATCATTTGCCTTTAACTTTGTGATGAAAGCAAGGGCCTCTAAAAGTGAGATGCATTAGGGCTGTGCCCTTATGCTCAATGAGCATAAGTAAAGGACCCTCCATGATATGAGTAATACTAGCCTCTCGGTAGTGTATAAGGTACTTGATTTTGAGTGTTTTCTAGACAGAGTGTTGTGCTCCGTGCTCCTGCAGTGAAGTGTAATATGGAATCATTTTTCCAGTAGACTGTCCACAGTTGAAGTGAAAGGTCCAGACTAGTGGCTCCTCAAGAACATGTTAACAGTATGGCCTTTCTCTTGCCAATAGCCCTTGAAAAAGTCCTTTTGATGTCATAGCAGTAAATCTGGTTGTTGTGCCAACTGCTGTTTGAAACCAGAAGTTTTTATAAGGACAAATTGTGTTATGTAGGGGTATGGTTACACATATAATGCCTAAAGAGAAACTGCTCTTTAGCCCCGAATAGTATCTCCTGTGAGGAGTGCTTAAAGGTGATGGAGGAACAATTTATTTCAAGTGAGAGTTTGAAGAGGTAAAAAAAAAAAAAAGGTAGAATGAGAGGAGAGGATGGGGAGTTGTCAGTTAGAGGAACAAGCAGAGGAGGAGGTGGTGAGTGGAGAGGGATGTGCCTGACACTCAGCACACCCAGCAGGATAACGTTAGCTTCACACAGGCAGCCAGGCTCACATCCTTGACCACTGCCAGTTACAAAACCCTGGATTACCCTGCACTGCCCGACTATGTCCAGTAACTTGCAGCCTGGGTGGTCTCTCGCTGCACCACTTTGTACTGTATCACATAATGCGCTCACAAGCATACACACACTAATCAAGATGATAATGTCTGGCATGAGGTGAAAAACAGATAAACCAGAAGAACTAGGAGAAAAACAATGACAGTACAATGACAATATAAGTTTCAGTAGCTCTTGTGCTGTGTGAAAGCATGCCACGTTGCCCTTCTGGGACTGACGTGTTTCAGAGGCATTTACCAGCCTCTTTCATGTCCCCCACCTCCAGGCTCTTCTCCATCAACAGGACTCATTAGCTGTTGTTACTTTCCCCCCTTTTTTTGTTCATTAAGATGTGCTAATTATTCTCCTCCATATTTTAAAGCCCTCACGATTACCAACAGGCAATTAACATTTGATGAGAGTGATGAGTGTTACTTTGACACAAAAAATTAAAGATAAAAAGATAAGCAATATTTAAAAAAAAAAGCAAAGAAGATGAGAAGGAGAAGCTAACAGAAGTTAGCAATGATATTTACTTTAATGTCTAATTTTATTGATCTGTGCCATTAAATCCAGACATTTGGCTCATGGTGACAGCATGGTGTAATAATTATACTGAAGAGGGAGAAAACGTTGTAGTAATCAGCACAGAGAAAGTGAGAGGTGTAAGCTGCTGAGTGTTACAGGGCCAACAGAAACACATTGACTGACCTGGATCTGCTGCTGGAGGAGGTTGATTTTGTGCTGCTGCTGCAGAAGCTGCTGCTGTTGTCTTGCAATCTGGTTGGAAAAAGAAATAAAGATAGTGAATTAAATAATTCCGTAAATTGACATACGAGAGGAAGCGGAACTAAAATGATTTAATACTTTTGTTCTCTTTTTACTAGATAATATTATATGTGCTACAAGTGCAAGCTGAGTACCAGAGATTGTAGAGATAGATGAGAAGGTGTGTTGAGATGGATGACATATCTTATCATAGGTAAGATAGAAGCAGATTAGTGAAGCAGAACATATATTCACATATATTCTTCTGACTAAATTGCTACAAAATCTGACAAAAAAAAAAAAACATTTTCAATTTTCCTAATGAACATGAATCAAAATCAGAGGTAAAGGAAAAATGAATGATGATGAAAATGGTTACAAGCGCGATAACTAGCACAGGCAGTGTTCGGGTGACAGAGGTCCCTGCCACCCCTGAGTGACGAGCAGCCACACCGCAATCCCTCTCATCCCAGCAGTCCCTCTTTCTACATGCCCACTTCATTGAGCATGACAACCTAGTTTTAAGTGTCATTTAATTTTCATTTTTAAATATAATTACAAAGTGTTCACTGTAAGATATCGGTCGTCTGCAAATGTGTCAAGATTAATTTGTGCTGGCTTCCTCACGAGTGTCAACAGTTAATTACTGTGTTGTATCTTGATGGCTTGATGACATTCTAGCTCTCAGCGGGGACTCTCTCGCTCTCCCTCTCTCCCCTTCTCTCCCCCCTTCTCTCTTCATTTTATTAATATTCTTCTATTTCAAAATAAGATCAAATAATAAAATGTCCTCTATCACTGTTCATTTATGCTGCAGTGTCTACAAAGCCCACACAGTTGAGTGTAGTTTGCAAATGAACATCATTGATTGAAAAAAAAAATCAATACTGTTAATGTATTATTAGTGTACTATGTCCAAATGCATCACTCCAAGGTATATGGTCTATCTCTTCATTTAACACAGGAGGGTCTGAGAGTGTGCTGAGAAAACTCTGAGTGAACTCCTTGCTGATAATTGACTCATAGCCATTAGGGTGGCTGGTGATAATAAAAGTGTCGCCCGTGTGGATAGTTTGTGTCCTTATTTCTTCCCCGACATTAACACACTTCATGGCCTCTGCTAATTTGCTGATTTGTACAATATGGCTCATTGGCCTGATTTGTGCTGCAAATCTAATGCCAGGCTTGTTCTAATAGGAGTCGATTTATAAGATATAGAGGACTTCCATGTTTAATATAACGTTTAATTCACACATTCCGTCGCATTTGTTAGTACAAGTCATAATAACATTTTTTCTACCACACAGCATAAATGTGGGCGAGAGAGCATGACCGAAATATCTGAGGCAATATAGACTATCACATCTCTTAAATCTAATATTATTCCAAATTCATAGTAAGATTTTATTGGCATATTTCAGGCATGAAAGTTAATATGAAATAGAGAGTTAAGTGAGAATCTGTTACAAATGTATTTAATGGGGTTTATTATAGGGATGAAAGGGGAAATAGAGTAAACAAGTTTAAAGGAGGAAAGGGAATGGATGTTTTAAATAGGAAGGAAGAAAGAAAGGAAGAATATGGTGAGGGGGAAAAAAAATTGCGGGGGTAGAAAAACATACAAAGACAGATAGTGTGAAAGTGAGAAAACAGTGAGCAGTTACCTGCTCCTGCTGCTGACGAGCTAACTCCATTTGCTGCCTCTGTTTCTCCATCTGTGAGGCGGCGAGTTTCTTCTGTTCGTCGTGGGCAGCCAGAAGCTGCTCTCGCAGGCTGATCAGCTGGGTGATCATTGTGGAGAGCTGGTGTTCCTTTTCTGCCAGGCTCTCTGGAGTCCCTAGTGAGCGAGAGAGAGAGAGAGAGAGAGAGAGCACAGTGTCAGGAGCAGAAAGACTAAACACAAGGTGGAGAGCCTGAGTCATAAACATAGATGCAGGTATGTGTTATGCATACCTGGTAGAAAAAAAGTGCATTAAAAGTTTCACAGGGGGCAATTACTAAACAACCAGGGTGTAGATGTTTATAATAGAGCCTGTAGAGGACCTTGGTCATTGTATAGTGTTAACTATAGAAAAGTTACCATGCTGCATATAATTATCACCATATTGTGCTATTGTACTGTACATAATATATAGTATAAAGAAACCCACATATGCAGAAAGCAACTGCAGTGAATTTATTAGAATGTATTAAGGTCACATACAGTCTGAAGTTGACTATTTTAGTGTAGTTGATGGTCCCCGGTTTCCTTTCAAAGAAGAGGAAGGAATTGTTCCCGGCACATAGACAAAGTGCTGCAGGGAGCTGTCAAACTGAGGTGGCATCTTATGTCAGACTACCAGGGGTGAATATAAAGAAAGTGTTGGGAGTCAGTGTTTGGAGCTGACCTCCGAACTGCACAATTTTTCATGATATGGCAATTCCAGCAACACATTAGAGGAGTTGCAGTTTTTACTGAAGGGAATAGGCAAACCTGTCAAAAAACTGCACCATAAACTCTGGTGTTTACACTATGACAGTCATCAGGAAAGAGATTTGTATCATAATCAACACTGAACAACACACTCTTTATTTTATTATCTGTGTAGTTACTGCATGCATACTTCAAAAAGCAATGCAATGACAGACCACTAGACTTACTTCTCTGTCTACAGTCACATGTCCACACTGTGTGTGATAGAGAGAGCAGCTGCACTGCTCTCTCCCTCCGCCTAATCAATGCTAAGTGATCCTACCATTGACTTACACAGCCAACATAATTGCCAGTGAGAGGCTAGACAGTAACTCACTCTCCTCCCACTGCACTCCTGTGTGACAAGCTGATCTGGGGTAACATACAAGTAAAGAGATGGGCGAAACCGACAGAAGCGACAGAGAGAGACAGTAAGAGAGAGAGGGAGAAGGATAAAAGCATAGAGATCCAGATAACAGTACAGTGAAGTCTGGCCTGGGGCCAGCAGGAGCTGAATTCTTTCCTGGGTGTCTTCCTCTCGTCTCTGGCCACATCTGTCTTGAGTTTCTCCGAGAGCTCCCATGGGCCCTCTCCACTCAAACTATTTTAATTTGACTAAACACCTGATTTATTTTATCTCTCCGATGAGGAAAGCCGTTTGTCTTAATAGGGCCTGTCAACCTCCAGATCCCATTCAGGGCAATTTACTGGCACGCTTGTCTGAACCTCGGTTCGCCTCACTCTGCCTCCGCTGCCTGCTGCAATGGAAGAGAGCTGCAATTCTCCATTTATCCTCCTAACGAAAAAAAAGCACCTAAAAGCAGCTATTCATTGGCCCTGCGTGCAGTTTCCAAAGCCTGAATTGACTTCTTATTCACCCGACTACACTTGTTGTGAATGGCTTATCTGTAAAATTGATACAATCAGCACCAATTTTATTAACCTTTGGCTGTGTCCATGAAGGAGCTGCCTTTACAGATACATCAGTCGTTGTCACAATAAATCCCAGCTATCAATACTGTAGTGGAAAGGAAGGAGGGACTAGAGAAAGAAACAAAGAAAGACAGAGAGAGAGTAGAAATAGAGTATCAAATAAAAGACAAAAAAGAAAGAAAATCATCATCCAGGTGAAGATGGGGACCATCAGGCCTCGAAGCCAGCATAGGTGACCTTGAGTGGGGAACCAAATATCTGGACTCAATGACCCCCTCTCAGTCTGTCTAATTACACATTTCTGATGATCACTCACTAGTTTAGGAGTTTCAACACTGTGTAAAAATAAATGAAAACTGCAAAAATTAGCTGGAATGTACAGCACATATATTTTATGTCTTATTTCTGTGTGCATGAATGTGCAGGGGGACTGGCCCAGAGAAGGATCTGATGGGCTAGCCTTAGTGTGGAGAGCTCACTTCTGCCTGGACACCAGAAGAATACTAACAGAGGGCCCATTGTTTTGATGTTGAGCTGAATTGTGGGAAGTCAGAACTGCCCTCTGTGCTGCAATCTGGACCCTCCCTCTTTACTAATTTTAATTATAATTATTTAACATTTAGTTTTGTCTTATTTGCCTATTTTCTTGTCAAAATCAATGCTGAAATGGCAACAAGAAATGTTCAGATTAGTGGAAAATGCTGGCGACAAACATTTAAACACAACTTTTGGCATCCAAATATCTAAATATGAACGTGGTGGAAGAATTTCACCTTAGAGACTATACACAGCTTAGCAGAAAATCAAACTCATATGTTTTTTGTTGGCTGGTTAGTGTAAAAATCTCTTTCTTCCTGCTTTAAATTATGGATCAGCTTTAAAATCCAGATAAAACTTTTATTGGGTGGTGTAGAAGAGGAGAGTCGTGGTCTGTGTCTAACCAGCCTGCTGACAAAAGAGGCCGTTTCCTGCATATTGCATGGCTTTTAACAGCAGTGGGGCTGGGGTCTGCCCGTTAACATGTCTCCTCACATTGCGCTTCCGATGGCAGACAGACAGCCCAGAGATGCCTTGGCGCTACATAAACTGGCCCAGACCTAACATGTTGTGACATCCTCCTGTTAGACGACTGAGGCTCAGTAGGACAATACCAGCCTGACAGAGGAAGAGGATCCCAGGAGTGAGTGGTCAAGCTGTGCTGGCACTTTTCTTGTTTTTCTCTCAGGACACTGTGTTAACTTCAGATATGTGAAATTGACAAATAGGAGGAGATGATGGTAAAGCTGTGTTGTTCAGTTTCAGCCCATTCAGCATTCACCTTTTGAGATTCCTGCCTCTTTTAAACGTCACAAAGTAGGGCAGAAAACATCAACGGGTGACTAAATAAATGATAAGAGGAAAACAAGCAGAGCCATGGTTGCTTGGGGAGGGATGGGGGTATTTGAGCCTTGGGGTCTTTGGATAAAAGGCACTTTGTAGGGGTGCGATTTGTTCTGTCCAATACCCACATCTCCCTCTCTCTTGGCTCCCTCCTCTCTGCTCTAATCAAGCAGTCTCTAATTTGGGTTCCAAGTCCAGTACCGGGGAAAAAGAAGGAGGCTTGTTACTTTGAAGAGTCCCGAGTGAATAACACAGATAAAAGATTCAGGCACAAAAAAAGAAGAAAAGCGAGGGAGGGTGAGGGTGAAAAGGGGGAAAATCACAAGGCACCCTATTCTCTCCCCTTCCTTTGGTTAGGACAGCTGAGCCATTATGACCAGATCTGAATTGAGTTTTTTAGCGCCAGAAGACTGGAATTTCTTTGTCTCTCTATCAGTCAGTCATTGTGGATGCTTCCATATGCTGCAAGCCCATCCTAAGTAAATTAGGAGTTGTCTAAATGCTACGATTGTACCAAGCTGTATCCACACACACTCTGCACATAGCTTGAATGCCTTGCGTGCTGAGGCTCTTTCTCTCTGCTTTCTCCTAAAGTGTGTGTGAATGTAGACACGAGTGTGTACAGATGTGTTGCGTGCTGCTCCAATCGATAAAAGGTACATGCCTCAGAGTAAATGCACACGTGTGTGAACTCTGCGGTCATCTGACCCTTTGTCCATTCTTTCTGTGGAAAACACAAAGAGCCAATTGAGTAGCAGCTAATGGCATCTATTGGTACCTTCTTTAGTGTTCAAAATAGAGAGATTTTTCTGCTCACAGACCTTTCTCCAAAACCGTAAAACTGCTTCAACAAAAGCATGAATCGGAAGCCGGCTTTTGTACCAAATTCATTTTTGTGATACTGAATATGACTGAAGCATTTTATCCTTTGGTCAAAAAAATATCTCATATTGAGGATCTACACTGACAGAAAACCAAACTAGAATAACTGAACTAGTTTTATGGTATCCCCTTTTCTTTTAACTACTATATACACTTGTTCATCAATGCTACAAAGCCATATGTGTTTCCAGTAATATGGTGTTAACATGTCTCCATGTCCTGCGACCAAGACAATATGAACAACAGCTGCTTTACCTGGCTTGCTGCCTCTGCCATGATATAAAAGCTGTTAATCTTGCCAATAAAACCCCATTAACAAGCATGAGAAATGACTCACAAGCACATGTCATCCACTGGCAGCAATGACTCTCAGTCCCTAAGCTTTTCTATATGAAATAGTTTGTTCTCACCAAGACACTTACTATCATCTTGTTGAAAAAGTTAGATCTTAGATTTTAAAAACCACTTAGGGTTATGTTCTTTAGACTTTAAACGGCTATTTACTTTTTGTAAATGCTAATGGTGGTCTGGTATTATAAGCCTCTTATGGTATATCTATATGTCTGTACTTGTGTGTGCATATATATTCGAGTATTGACAGATGTGATTATAATCATTTTAATGGCTCAGCAAACGATTTTTTTAATGCTCTGATTGGCATGTGGAGAGGTTATTAATAAAAGCACACTTCATCTGCTGTGGTTCTGCTGTTCATGCTGAACACCGATGGAGACTAATATTTTGATGATAGAGGAAGCTTCACTCTTCAGTATAATTATGCTAATGTAAAAGCTCCAGCACTTCACTGTCTGTCCATGACACGGGACAAGGTACTTCATCAAAGCCAAGATAGAGGATCGACCTGAAGAACTCCACAGGGAATGCCACTGACCCTGAAATTCACACTGAAGGCAAAAAAAAACTCAACACAGAAACTTTACTTCTGTTCTTTCAATAACTGAATTCTTTGACTATGTAATACAGTGCGACAAACCAGAAATTGTGACACCATGGAGAAAGTTGTATGTGTGTGCATGGCAGCATATAGCAAAGATCATTACAAGAGAACAAAGATTGCCTCTAGTCCTTTTATTCATCTCTCATGGCCTTTATGATGATGAGTCTGACCCCTGTCCCCTTAAATTATAAAAAGCATACACAATTTTCAAGGTCTCTATCATACAAAGGGT